CCATGCACGGTCGTGCTTAAGGCCTTGTACGACCGTGCTCATCTGCAGGAAGCCCAATTAATTAGAGTTTTTAGGATTTTCAAACTCTATTAAAAGGAAGACCGAAGGCATAGTAAGAGGCATCTTGGATATATCGTTTTACACCATTTTATATTGGCTTTTACTCTGGGATACATTTCATCTCGTCTCTCTTGCACGGGATCTTTGGCACACTCTTGGCGAGACTTGGAGCTTCAAGCGACCGTACTTGAAGACTGGGAACCCATCACACTCTAGTTTTTCTATTTCTTTTTTTTATGGCTTTATTCATGAATGTTTTAGTTCTTTTCTTTAGCATGAGTAACTAAGTCCATAGCTAGGGCTATGGGAACTATTGTTTATGAATTTATGGGATTTTGATGTTTGAATCTTAATTTGATTTCCATTATGTGATTAGATTTTATCCTATTGCGCTTCTTTCTTAATCCTAATTAATTATATTGTCAGGCGACCGTACCTTGATAAATTAATAGATCTATAGGGTAAAACAAGATAAAGGATTAGGTGGATCAAACCAATCTTTCACTTCTAATCGTTATTAAATTAACAAGTTCATAGGTTCTTTAAGCTTTCTTAAATTGATGTCTTGTATGACCATTGGGGATATTAATTTAGAGAAAAGAATATTAATATTGCATGACCATTGGGTATTAATAATATCCGTATGAATGATTAGTAATCACAAAGAAATCAGATTTAGAGTTAAAAAGAAAAATAACATAAAGGATTGAATGAGAAAACCCATATGTCCTAGGTTCCTCTCTGATAAGTTTAACCAAGACGTGCAATGTATTCTTGCATTTAGTTTTATAATTGATTTTATAAATTTTTTTAAATTAATTTCGTATCTTTGAAGCTTAAACAATTGAATTAGGAAATTCTTAGTAATTGAAAATTAATTCTTGTGAGACGATATTTCAGGAACTTAATTTAAGAACCTTTTATTACTTCTCGATGGGTACACTTGCCCTCCCGAATAGTAGTTTAGTTAGATATTAGGATCAATGAGGCAAGAAATTATCCTTTGATTAATCTAGTGAAATTGATCATCAATCGATTAAGGAACTTAGAGTTCAGATCTACTTCAGTTTGGCAATTGATAAAGAGGTGAAATCAATCTTTACTTCATTTACATATCATTTTATTTCTAAATTCGTACCTTTATTTTGCTATATTTTTAAGATTTTTGCACTTTATTTTTTTGTTTGTTAAATGATTCAAAATACTCCAAATTTGTTTGGCTCAAATAGTTATTGATTTGTGAAGTGGTAATTGATAGAACTAATCCCTAAGGACGATACTTGGGACTCATTGATTTCCAAATTTTATTACTTGTTACAACTACTTAGTACACTTGCTAGTTAGTTCTCTAATTTGTGTGACAAGTTTTTGGCGTCGTTGCTAGGAATTATTATTTTTCAATGTCATTAGTAGCAGAGAGATAGCTAGATTGAACATTTCTTTTTGTTATTTTGCTTTCTAATTTTTCTCCATAATTTTTTCTTGCATTTTGTGTAATTTTCTGCATAATTTCTGCTTATTTTCATTTTGCATTTTTCTGCATAATTTTTTTTTTGTTGACTTTTGCATGAGTTGTTTTGCATTTTTCTGCATGATTGTTTAATTTTTCTGCATAATTCATTTTTTGTTTTTGCATTTTTTTTTGGATAGATTCTGCATTTTTTTTATTTGTTGTTTATTGCATAACTTTTATGTATTTTTTGCTATTTTTTGCATAATTTTGTTTTGCTTTTTTTTTTGTATAATTGTAATTTTCATTTGCCATAATTTTCTATGTTTTCTGCATGTTTTGTTTTGTAATTTTTTGTATAGTTTTAGATTTCATTTTGCTTAGTTACTGATTTAATTTGAATTTTGTTTGTAAGCAAGGAAAAATTAGAAAAATAAGTTGCTCTATTGTTTGATGGCAACCAGCATGTATCAGAATTTTCATCAAAGCCAAGTTGCAAGAACAAGAGCTTATGAAACAGATGCTTTTGAAGCTTTAATTAATAATTTTCAAGCTGGATTTGCCCAAACTAACCCCTTGGTGTGTGATTTTTACAGTGAAAATGATTTGAATGAAACTTATGATGTGGCTGCACCAGAATTTCAAGAAGAATTCAATTATGCAGAAAATTTTCAAAGACCTGAATCTACCTTTCCTCATGTATATCAATATCAAGCTATGAGTCAGTCATATTATGATTAGAATCAACAAATGATTGCTGCGACAACACCATTCTCTAGTCCTCAATTTTCACAGCCTTATTTTCAAGTATCATATTCTCAATTTCAAGGAGGATTGCAGCCTTCAATGACTCTTCCAAACAGAAATAATGAACTTGAAGAAACTTTGCTCCAATTCATGAAATTTACTCAGTCAAGTTTCAAGAATCAAGAGGCATCTATGGACAAGATGGGGAGGCAAATAGGACAAATTTTAGAACGATTGTTAAGTAGGAATGATGAGTAATTTCCTAGCAACAACATTCTGAATCCAATAGAGTAATGTCAAGCTGCTTTCACAAGGAGTGAGGTGGAAATTTTAAGTCCTAAAGCTGCTAAGAAAAAGGAAGCATTAGATAAATATGAAGAAAACAACATTCAAGATAAGCAACAAGAGGATTGCAAGGAAGAGCAGTTAACAATTTTAAAGAAAGAAGAACCAAAGGACTGCAACAAGACACAACCTGAAAAAAAGACCAAAAAGCAGTTGTTTGAAGATACTTGCAAGCCAATAGATGAAGCTAAGCTTCCATTTCCTCAAGGACTGCAGAATTCTAAGCAGGAAAAATAGAACGATGATTCTATTCTAAGAGAGATCCTTGCTGGAATTAGATATGAAGATAATAAAGAGCATGAAAGGAAGCTTGTTGAGTATATCAAGCTGCTAGAAGTCCCTCCACTTTTATTTCATCTAGGTTCTGAACTAAATGAAGAGCTGCAAGTTGGTGAGAAAAAGGGAAAATGTTTAAAGACAGAGCAAGAGCTGTTATCATCAAAATCATCTCTTAGAATCAAAGATCAATAGGCGTCAAGCTAGTGACGTTAAAAGAGCGCTTTATGAGAGGCAACTCACACTTCTTTCCCTTTAGATTTTGTTAATTTCTGGTTTTTTGTTTCATTTTTTTACATGATTTGAATTTTTTGTTGTAGGTAATAATTTTTTTTGGGAGTAAAAGTGTCAACCTATAGAGGAGTGTTCTGAGTTGAGTAACACTTAATGCAATTAACAATCAAATGGAGTGCAGCAAGGTATGTAGACAAAACTCAAAAGAAATGTGTGAATGTGACAATCAAGAATCAATAATGACAAGCTAAAATTAAGGCACCTTTACAAGCAAGGACTTCAAATGAACCCTAGAACTTTAGAATGCAAGTTAGATTAAGCAAGCACAAATCACATATATTAGTAGGTTTTGGGTTCATGTGAACTTCAACAACAAACCATAATTTCTTTAACCCTTTTTTTTTCTAGATTTACTATGTATTATTTTACAATATGTATTTCTTGCTTTTTACCTTTGATTAACTCACTTTTTTTCTTTTCAATTTTGCTATACAATGGCCTTTGTTCGAATTTTGATTCAACTAAAAAAAAAAAATTTGTTTAGAATTTTTTGTTCTAATTGGTTTCTTTGAATCTCTAATCACAACACCTAAGTGAAACTACTACAGTAACCAACTCAAACCAAATCCTACTTATATCACTTGCAGGGAATAATAAGCATGACAAAACATTGAATAAAAATCACAATACAACAAGAAAGTAGGTACGCAGATTGCAGAATTTTTACGTTTCCAAGATCTTCACAATTAATAGTGCAGAAACACAAATTTGTTATTAAGATTTTCATCTCATGGATTTAGCAAATAGCATGCACAAAAACAAAATTAAATCATCAAGAACACATGTGCAAAATTTGGCGGTAAAAACAAAACATAACCAAACAAAATTCATATTTATTTATTTATTTGCAGAATTTGAGTTCAAATTTTAAATCTAAACTGATTAAACATACAATTAGACTCTTAGAAATACATTGCAACAAGAATCAATCGGTAGAAATGCAAGAAATTTCAAAAGCATATCCAAAAAAATAAAAACAGATTTTGGCGCCAAAAACATAAAATATTGGAAATGTTTAGATGTTGGATCAATTTACAAGATTTTATTGCGCATGGAACGAGGAACTTAGATATGAAATCTGATCATCAAAATTTCCAACAAATCTAAGTAGATCATCGTTTTAAATTCAAATAGAATTTGGCGCCAAATAAAGAACAAAGTGCAGAAATGTGTTCAGACAAAGGATTTCCAACAAAATAAAGGTGTAGAAGCAGAATATGCAATCAGATTTTGGAAATAACAACTAGATCAATATAGAATTTGTAGAAACAGTACCTCTTGGATGAGGCTCTCACAACAAGAAAAATTGTATTTAGCAACCGACAAAATCGGTGGCTAAAATATAAAAATCAGTTGCAAATTTTTTTTAGCCACCGAAATAGCCACCAATTAAAATCGGTGGCTAATATGTTAGTTGCAAACATATTTAGCGACCGAAAATGCATTCAGTTGCAAAAATTTGACCTTAGCCACCAAAAAATTTCGATCGCTATTTTGCCACCACCTAGTTAGTAGCTATTTCGGTTGCTAATTGTACCACTTAATTCAGTTGCTAATTGCAACCCCAAATATTGGTAGCTAATATGGTTGCTAATTAGTTATATTTTGTTGTCATTAGCTAAATTGGTTGTAATTTTACATCTAATTTTTTTAGTTGCTATTTTGGTGGCTAAATTTCATTAAATATTTGATTATTAAATTTGTCGTTAAGTCAGTGGCTAAATTGATGAATAAATTCGGTGACTAATAAGCTTCTGCTGCTTCTTGCAGTGCAGAAACAACGCTGCTGCAAATTGGTTTTGAAATCCTGTGCGATTTCCCTTTCCAGACGCTGAAACAGAAGCTTCCTGATCAGCAACTCATGTTCTTTTGTTACTTCCTGATTTCCCTCAAAGCCACCGTCCCTGGCCTGAATTGGTGCAGCTTTTTCATGCCGCAGGTCGCCGGAGCTAATTTTCTCGCCGCTTTAGTGGCAAGTTGCTTCCTTGGCGCCTTCCCTCCGATGGACTTGCGTGTGGTTTGCTTGGTTCTTGCCATCACAGTGAACTATTGTGTGTTTCAACGCTTAATCGAAAATCGTTCTGAAAATTGAATTGAAATTATGTGGGTGTGGCGTTTAAGTACGAGGATTTATGAAAATAGAAGCGGGAAGTCTAAATGTGGTTTTGGGATAGAATAAATATAAACCGTTGATTAGCTAATAATGTACGGACGCAATAGTGATCTGTGGCTATGTAAAATAGACCAATAGAATTCCTTTATTGAAAATTGGACTAACAAATTGGGGGCGTATTCTATGATATGTGAGGCCAAACTCATCAAATATTGTTTTTATATGCATTCGCTTAATTCTTTGTTTAAGAACTAATAATTGACCAAAAATAAATAAACTTTTTTTTAAAAAGTAATGTAATAAGAGGAGAGAAAAAATTAAATTAAAAACTGAAGAGAAAAAAATATTATTTTTTTCGGTTGCTATTTGTCATTGATTTATTTCGATTGCTAAAATTGGTAGTTGTTTGCTACCTATTTTTTTTAGTTACTAAATTCGGTTTCTATTTGTCACTGACTTATTTTGGTTGCTAAAATTGGTAGCTGTTTGCTACCTTTTTTTTGTTGCTAAATTACGGACTAATTTTAGTCGCTAAATTAGTAACTATTTGCTACGGATTTATTTCGGTTTCTAAATTCGGTGACTAATCAGGTATTTTCTTGTTGTGTCTAGATACCACATGATGTGATCCTTGAAGCTTTCTTCAAGAATGACCAAGAGATAGGACCATCCAAGAGACCTTCAGCTATGGTTTGAGCATGTATGTGGGGGAAATTCACAGATCCAGTACCAAAGAAAGAAAGAAAAAAAAAGGCAAGTGCAAAGCAAGGAAAATGGAAGAATAATGCAGCACGTCACTCCAAAGAATTAGAGATAAACACCAATGCATTCACCACATGGAAGAATCCATGATAAGAGTGTGATTCTAAAATTTTTAATCAGAATTCAGAGAGAAACTCACTCACCTAAGAGGAGACAAATACATCAAATGATTCTAATCTAAAAATTTACAAAAGAGTTTAGCCTATATATAGGCAAACTAACTCAGCCCAAAAAAGTCTCTAATGAGCCGTCAAAACAAGGAAAAGAAAGGAATGGGGATTGGGCTGAATATATGCCCTGAAACATAGCCTAATATAAGCCCAAACAAAATACAAGAGACTGCACTCCAAAGCCCAATGGGCTTCTTGGGCTCATGGCCAAAATATAAGGCCTAGAAAAAACTATTCTAAACATGAACAATGCAAGTAAAAAGTGTATACATGTGTGATCTTATGATGTCCATGTGGTGGATCTCTAAATGTGCTACAAGTGTGGATAAGGCCTGCTGAGCCTTCTTAGCCCTAGCCCTGGTCATAGGCCCATGAAAAGCCTCCAACTCCCTTAATCTTATGCTTTCATTAGTGATTTCAATTGTTTTGTAAAAGTTGTCATTTGATTTATTAGTGAATTATTGCTCTTTGCTTGGTAGACTAGAGCGGTCTCCCTTTTTCTTGGTCATGTAAGAGCTAGTTATGTGTCATTGGAAATTGGCAGATGTCATCTCATCTACCATTTATATATCTCATATGGATCTTTTCGTATAAAGGTCCCTTCAACTGTTGCGTCAATTGTGACTCTATTAGAAACTGATAATCCACTATGAAAGATGCAAGGGCACCTCCACAAAAGTTCTTTGAATTGTTTTCATGCTTTAAAAAGGGATTTTGACTCATATTATTGAAAGCTGGAGATTTTTTCCATCAGCTTTGAAGATCTAGATGGAGGAAAGTACTTTTCTAAGAATTGCTAGGTAAGATCCTCATACATTGTAATGAAATTACCTAGTAGCATGGTGATCCATGCATTCACCTTTTCTAAGATAGAAAATTGGAAAAGACGAAGCCTAATAGCATTGTTAGTGACACTGTTATATTTTATAGTGTTAGTGAACCAGAGGAATTTTGTCAGATGGAGGTTGGGATCTTTATTAGGTATTCATCTAAACTATTCATAATTTTAAAGCATAGTAATTAGTGTTGGCTAGCACTAGAAGTTTTTGGCCTCTATGTTGGGGGTTTCAATGATTTTTGGGACACCTCAAGCAATAGGTGTAATATTATCTTGGATTGATCTCCTACCCTATGTTATCCTTTGTTGTCTTAACTCTTTCCTTTGTCTTTGCAAAAAATTTTCAATCCCTAGATCAAATAAACAATTTGTAGAAGACTTAAAGTAGATGAGCATGCAACAAAGAAAATTATATTGAAAATAAAATAAAGAAAAGTAAAATAATCAAAACAAAATCAAACTAGAAACAAGTTTGGTCTCTATGAATGGCTAATGATGTCATTTGCGCTCACAAATGTCCCTAGTACTTTCATGAGGCTAATTCATCATGTCCTATGCATAGGCCACTTTGTGGTGGTTTATTTTGATGATATCTTAGTGTATAGTAAAAATTTTGATGATCATATTATTCATCTAAAGAATATTTTAGAGTACACATAACCTATTTGCTAACTAAGAGAAGTGTTCTCTTTGCTTAGATAGGGTAGTGCTCTTAGACTTTGTGGTGAGTTCCAAGGAAGTTCACATAAATGAAAAGAAGGTGAAGGCCATCAATAACTGGCCAACACCTAAGATCGTGGGAGATGTGAGAATCTTTCACGACCTAGTAAACTTTTATAAGATGTTTGTTAAGGATTTCTTCACACTAGTTATCTTATTAAATAAGTTATTAAAGAAAACTACAGCTTTTGTATGGGGTGAAAGGTAAGAGAAATTTTTCTAAGCCTTCAAGAATATGCTCACAAATGCACCCATTTTAGCTCTCCCAGTTATTTGAGCTAAGTGTGATGCACCCATTAGGATTCTTCCTACACTAAGTGTGTACCAACTAGGATGATTTTATTTTTTTAAGTTAAGTGTAAGGTGAATGTGAGCTTAACATATTACCAAAAATGGATTAACAAAACAAAATGAGTTTAAATTCCCACAAGATAAAATTAGAGAACTATAAGGTTCTAACTAGCGTTTCATTACGTGTATAGATTTCGTCGAAAATCAACTTCAAGCGTTTGAGAGAACAAACGTGAACGTAACAGGTAAGAGGTAGGTTATGTAGTAAGGATTACATCATAAACTTGTTTAACCTTATTTGTTGAAATTGTCTAAATTTTGTAATGATTGATGATTGTGATTTTCCTATATGCTTAATTTTGATAATTGTTTGCTTCTGTGTTTGGTGGTAGAAATATATGTTTGATACTTCATTAAGACATAAATTGTGTTATATAATATGAATTGTCTTTGAGTGAACATTTATGTACATGGTGGTTTTTCATGGAAAAGTTTAATGAAAATAAATTGAAATGATTGAATGATGGATTGAGAACTCTTATAGACTGTATTGGAAAGATTTTTATTGTAACAGGTATTTGAAATATTTTGGAAAGTCCATATTACAGGGGAAACTCTGTCAAAATTTTGAAAAATATTCAAATATTCAAATATTCAAGTGTTATAGGACATTGGTTAGCTCAAAAAATAATAATAGTTTAAACATTTTTTCTCATATTAACAATTTTTTGTTTTAATCACTTCAAATAAAATCTTTTTGTTTTGTTCCTATTTTTTCATTAATTTTTTATTTTAGTCATTATTATATATATTTCGAACTTCATAAAATAAATACACCTTTACCTCCCTTATTTTAAAAGAAAGGGGTACACTTCGTTAACAAATCATTTATAAAGAACAATTGAATAATAACAACTATGGACTTAGTATGACGATAAACATCATTTCATGCTTCTACTAAAAATATTGTAATGAACAATTTTTGTTTTATATTTTTCTTGTATTTTATTAAAAAATAACACGCAATTAAAATATTTATTAATAACAATTAAGAATCTCTCTTGTATTGCTTTTGTTCAAGAAGAAGAAATTAGGATACACACAAAAGGAACAATTACTGTCAGTCCCATGCAAAAAAGAGGTAAACAACTGACATTAAAAGTGAAAATTCTAAGCTGTAATTCTTTTATATTTTACGTGTATTTTTTGTAATTATATGTGTAGAAAAGATTAAAAAAATAATAAATATATAGTGTTAATATTAAGTAATTCAAATAATAATTTTTTAAACCAAAATTTCATGAAAGAAGACATGTTTAAAAGTAAAGAAAATTATTGAGTTCAACAAAAACATAAAATATTTGTGATAAATAACACACTTGTTCTAATATTAGACCAGGGTATAAGAAGTTAGACTGAAAAAGTTATTAATTTGCACAAAGAATAATAACCTGTAAGAAGGAGGATTCTTAGGCCAGAAATGGTAGTTTATAGAAGAAAGTGGCCATACAATGTGGAATAAATGGTCCACCAACCCTTTTTGCCATTCACCTCGTTTGAAAGTTTTGTGCCATACCCTTCTAAAGAATCAGACCTCATAGGCTTAGCATATAGCTCCTTTTCTTCTTGGGATAACTCAAAGAACTCTTTGCCGACATTTTGTAACTTGCTTATAACTTCACTAGGTATCTCATGGTTCACAATTTGAATATGCTCACAAATGCACCCATTCTAAGATTTTGATTTACTCAGACTGATGAGTGTAAAATTAGGACCTGACTCCTTCATAAAAGTTGTAGGAAATTGTACGCCTGAAATTTAGAAATTGGTTTCATGTCAATAGCTTGTCTTTGAGTGAACATTTATGTGCATGGTGGTTTTTCATGGGAAAGTTTAATTAAAATAAATTGAAATGATTGAATAATGGATTGAGAACTCTTATAAACTATATTGAAAAGTTTTCTAAATGTAACAAGTATTTGAAAATTTTGGAGAAGTCCATATTACAGGGGAAACTCTATCAAAATTTTGAAAAATATTCAAACTTAGAAAATTTTTTAATCATTCTCGAACAAATTTAGGAATTTGAGAATATGGAACTTTTCTAAGAAAAACCACTTAGGACATTATTCATCCGAAAATGGTATTTTGTGCAAAATGGGGAATCATAGACTATGGACTCTAGGAATACGATAGGGAGGCCCTGAGGGAGGACTTAGGGATAGGAAGGGTAGTGGTTGGAAGCCCTAAAAGACTTAGGCTTGCTACCTGTCGTTGGGGATCCCACTGTACAAACTCTCCTGTACCTGACTGTGCTTTTGCCGTATATCATGGTCAGTGAGCTACTAGGTTCATATTTGAGCGTGAGTCTCAACAATCCCGTGGGTGGATTTCTATACCTAGTAGTGTCAACTTCTCGCTACCCCAGTACTGATTTAAGAAATGATTCATGCCCGCATGCATGGACATTTTAGAAAAACAAACTAGAATCATGCATCATTATCATTATTCATTTGAAATACGATTGATCTATGAATATTTATGATATTTGATTTTAACATGATGTATGAAATGTGGCTCACCCTATTGTTTTTTATTTTTTCTATTTTCTCTGTACCTGCGGTACTCATTGGACCTGATCAGTTACTACCTATAGCAGAGAAAGATGGCCCAGATTTCACACCAAATAAATATGATAATCAGGCCACATCAATGGCAACACAATTGGAATAGACACACCCATACTTTTGCCAACATACTTACTATATTTTTGAGGAGAGCAGCATCAGGACCCGGAGGTAGTGCCCTATTACCATAAGGACTAGACTAACCTTTGACTTGGATAATAATAATCTTTTTCAGCCCATACCACCACCAATTCTCCCTCCAGTAGGAGGAAATGGATATGGATATTC